CATTGGGCGATCGCCTAATCGCCTACTCGCCTACTCGCCTATCGCCTAATCGATATGTACTTTTCATTATGGACTAGTCGCCTAATCGCCTCATCGCCTATAGCGCGTACGATCGCCAACTATGCACGCTCCATTAGCATCCAACACGATACAGTTATCATCTAACCAGAGACTGTCGGAGGCCCGCCCAAAGGTGATCAGAGGGTCGGGCAAGGTCTTTTAAGAGTTCAGACTTAATTTGCAGTGAGTACATTTTTCCTTCTTCACTGTCTGATTGGTGCTGAACCCAAACGCTAACAATCTCTGATACGGCTAGAGTCAGACGGTGAGGGGGAGACCGGCAAAGGCGTGAGCAGCCCGGGCATAGAACTGCTTGACTGTTGGTGGATGTTGATTGCTGCGAAACGCACCTGGCACTCCTAGGGACCGCCTGTTATTCTACTGAATAGATTTCCTCTTCTTCAACCTCCGAACTTATCGTCCTCCCTAACTGTTAGCTAGTATAGCACGTGCTCATTCACTTGAACCCACAAGTCAGGATAAGGTGCTCATAGAAAGCCTTTTCATATCTAATATGGCCTGGACGCATTCAGCACGCCAAGCTCCTGAATCAAAATGGCGCGGCGACAAGGCCCCTGGCCTACTACTTACAGCGATAGCTACACTGCATCAGCTATGCCCCCGCCCACCTCCGGAAGTGGTGCGTGGCTGGCATAACGTGTGAAATCAGCTAGGTTGCCGTATCAACCGATGGAACGGCTGGCATATCCGGAAAACTCGTTTGACGTGCTCTCCCCAAGCCAGCCTCCTTCACTGCTAGTGGGAAGGGGGTTTCGTTTTCGGCCTTGTCGACGGTTTCTTTTCGTTTTTTCTCCACTGTCGTTCCATTTCGCATCTCTATACTCAGTTTCAGTCGCCAAAGCAAAAAGGATAGAGGTTTTTTTTGCCTCTATCCTAGACGAACCACTTTCAGTCCCAAGCCCTTGAGGCACACCACTAGGTTAGGGCTGAACCAGTCAAAATAAGTAAGGCACTAGAACCACTATGGAAAAAAAAATGTGGATAAGTATCAGACGTATAGACGAAGGAGTTCATCAAGGCAAATTTTGAAGTCTCAAAGTCATGGAGCCGCTAAATTATCTGAAAGTTCAGATATTTAGCGATTCAGTGACTTTTGCGTCTCTTATTGGATTTAAGAATGAAAGGTGCTAAAGAGCCGGTAGTTCTCCAGTTGTCATTGAGTACTATTAGTATAGATGGCCGTTTCAGTCACGCATTCAGGCGCCATTTATCAGTCTTTGCAAGATATTATTATATTAGTCTATTCCGTCCACCATCCGTGTCTGCGACGTACCCCTCACATCACTTGTAAGAGCCAAGGTTTCACTGTCTCTGCAAATGCAGCAACGGAATTGGTGGAACTCACCTCAACCTCTTTACAGCGTTAAAGGAATCTTGCGCGGAAAAATCATGATTCTATTTCAGCCATAAATCACTGGCTTGAGACTCATTATCCACGATAATAGTGAAAAGAACTGAAGTATTGCTTTCGTTTTGATTAGAAATTCGAAAACTCGAAAAGGCTGCTACGCGTTCGAATTGCCCACGGACGTCTTTCACGAATGCTGGCGACGGGGATGCTCAAACTTGGTTCTTGGAGTGCATTCACTAGAAGCTCTTTCTGGCCTTCTGCTTCGTTGCATTCACATCTTACACTTCTACTCCATCCTATTCCATCGATCGATTTGTCTCCACTCTCCGAAATCGCGCGCTTTAACCCGATTCTCTCATTGCGTCGCCTGGTACGTAGCCGGCCAAACGCCGTCTTCTTTCCATGCCTCGCCTGGCTCTGCCTCCTGGTCCTTCGATGGTCCATAACGTGTAGTTTTTGTACGTTTGTTTCTCTTCAGAAACCGAATCTTCATGCGTGAAACTTTGTGTGCTATTTCCAGTGATCACAACTGACATATTCATGTTAGGAAAGAGTGCAAGAATTTTCGCGCAATTCTTTAATGCGTAATACCGACTATAGCATTACTATCCGTTACTTGCATTTCTACACCCATGAACTGGGAGGTGCTCACACTACGATCCTATCAACATATCAATCTCTATCAATTAGTAGAAATTGCTGTCACTTACTGTCAACAAATTTTTTGGTCCCCGTTCAACTCACATACATGTCTTAGTGCAGCAATTCCACTGTCAACACGGACAACGTAAAAAATTTGATCAACTTTGCATTCCGATGTCCTCATCAACTATTACTAGTTGCTATCAACTCCGGCCACCACCTATCACTGTTTCCACTCCGTCCCCTTTAACTCTTACAGACTGCAGCGCTCCCACATTTATCTGAGCGAAGTTATGAGCTTCCGGTCAAACAGATACACACCACACATGCTCATAACTTAGCACTTCATATAAACAGTGGTTAGGTATGCACAAGTGTAACGTCCAAAAACAACAGAACCTTCTGGACAACGAGTATCCTTCGAGCAACGATATGGTGGCCTCGGAGTAAACTGCGCGCTTCCCGATTTCCTAAACTTCTCGATTTATCTAGCAAACGCAAGCGTATTAACATTGAATTTGAGGAAGTGGCCAAATGATTATCGAGCTGAAACTTTTTCTCAGCATTAATTCTGTATCGCCTTTTACTACATTGATAATTAATTTGCCCGAGCGGGCGCCAGCAAGGTTTCCATTCGGCCTTGTCGGGTGCAGAGTGGATCCTCCTTGCTCGAGGGACACGAAGTCCTTCATTCCTTTCGTTCAGAGCTTTCGTGAAGAAGTCTGACCATCGGGCCGGCGGTCGTCCAGGTGTTCGTTTGACGTCCGAGGAGTCCTGCCGGTAACCGTCCAGGTCCAGTGGTCGTCGCATACCGTGATCGGTGCACGTGATCCTTGATTTCATGGCGAGAAGCGTTCCCGTCCAGCGTCTGTTGACGTAATTCGTAACGTGCTTGTGACTGAAATAAAGCAGATTCAGGAAAGAAGTTTGGAATCTGCTTGAAACTTTGAGACGCCACATTAGAACAAATGAAAAAAATCGGGAATATAATAATGTCAGTGTCTGAGATAAAACTTTGAATTTCACAGAGCGCGACTTGGCGTGATTACAGTATGACCTGATATTAGAGAAGCTTTTAGGCGAATATTAAAGGAACATCCAGGAAGAAGAGGATGAAAACGTCATCTCGTGTTATATCCGTTCTCATAGATCCACAGAACAAAAATGAATTGATACCATTGGAAAAGCGGGCTACACTGGTCGGGTCACCTTTGATTAACCCTGTTGTATACACTCTAAATTTATCACTATTAAGATTAAGAATATTGTAATCATGCACAAGAGCAAGAAGTTTTGGATTGATCCAGCCATTCAATTTGACACATTGGCTTCGCTGTTTGAACACTACCAAACAAAATCTCTACTCGTTGATAAGGTTAGTTTCAGAGATTAATTTTTTGTTCTTAACAATAAACCAAGAGCTTGTTGTGTCGGTCATCTGCCATTTACATATCCATGTGTCACACAGTCCATAGGCCTCGTGTTGCCAATGTTTCGTGGTGGCATAACAGCGATAAATTCCTAGATACTGTATGGTTAGAGTAAGTAATAGACCCAATGAGCCATGTTCAAGTGGGTGGGCACGCCGTTTCTCCTATTACGGTAGGTGCGAAATGTACGTAATTGGGGCTATGAGAATAACTTAGACGTTCCCACTTTTTATGAATGTCAACGACTCGCCTCACCCCCCACTCCTTGAATTGGCTGCACCCTTTGCTTAGCGCTAAAGGTCGTAACAAGTTCTTATCGAACCGTATTGTAAAAATCGGCGCGCCCATCGGAATGGCATTGCACCGACCTGAGGTCCAAATCATTAATGAGGTATCATTCCAAGGTCCCGCTCGCAGTCGGCGATTCAGTCGCCCGATTTGGTTTCTCGAGGGGGATTTGCAAGGCATATCAAGGCGGAAAGCCAAATTCGTGTTTCTTTGTGGAATTCGTGTTTCTTTGTGGAAAGTTCCCAAATTTGTGTTTCTTTGTGGAAAGCCAAGTTCCCAAGATTGTGATTGGTTGATTTTGACGTCTTTGAAAAACGTCCTGTTGTTTCTGCGAATAAGAAAGATTTTTCACTTTTTTCTCTCCACCTTAATGGAATTCGTTTCCGCCATGAAAGAATCTTGTATTGCGCCAAGATTAACAAACAACCAGGTCTCATTCAGGAATCGATTTTACTTAAACGTGGTGTTGGATTATGCAGATGGGAATTTAAACACTCAAATGTCCAAGTAGGAAGGCTACTAGGAAGAGGAGCTTATGGTGAAGTTAGGAAAGGAACTGTTATACGAAAAAATGGGCAAATTGTAAATGTAGCCGTTAAAACAGTGAGTCTTGCTTATAGCCGACGAATTCGCAGCTCTTCCACGCTGGCTTGATAAAATCACATGATATTTGCCTCTACATTCATTGAAAACAGCACACTACTTCAATAGTTACCTTCAGTTGGCTGAAAAACTTTTATAAAGCATGATTTTGTGCCCAGATCGTAACTGATTGGCAGCCTTGTGGCTGAGAGGAAATTCCAGTCGTGCTCACTTTTGCTATGAACTAGTTTTCTCTGATTCCTGGCCGATTTCCCTTCGAATTCACATCTTTCAACTCAACTCAATGTCATTGCGAAATATTGTGGTATGTTGAGGAGTGCTTCAGAAGCCTGCTGAGAGAATACAGAGAATCAAGCGCGTACAGGGATAAGTAACTAAGCATGAAAACAGTTTAACGACTATTGCGAAGATATCGAAAATGAACACTCGTCCTCGCATTAACCAGCTGACTCAACTGAGGAAAGTGTTGCATTACGATAGCACATCCATCGTATAGCCATAACACAACTTCGACCATCGCGTCCACGATGCCTGAAGCAGCAGCTGTGAATGAAAAGCGAATAGAATGAACCCAAGAACGAGTTTCCGAGTTTTTCAACTACTAGGTTTATTTATTTTGGAAGACAATAACAAATCAAATGTTTCCCATATCAAATTGAAGGGAAAGAAAAATCGAATCAGCTCGCGGAGACGAAATCGAGACCTAATGTATGTACATATTCAGCTAACTATGACAAGTCTTCTCACCCGGGAATTAATACGAGAAATCATGAAAGAGGCACGAATAATGCGCGACCTCCATCACGTGAACGTTGTCGCCATGATTGGTGTCGTACTTATCGACCATCCATTGTATATCCTGTTGGAATATGTTTCAGGTTGTTTTCATTTTTTTGTGAAAATTGATTAACCTTTTTCGACGATAAAAAGCCTCCTTTATAATTTAGACACAGTATTCCCTTATCTAGGTTTCCAAGTTCCGGACACATCAAATCTTTAACTACCTGTATCACCTGCCGTCCCTTTGATCACCTTGCCCACTGAGAGCATTTTTCGAGAGTGATAGTAGTGCAGTGGACCTTCTTTGCTCGAGGGTGTTGCGACTTGCGCCACGACTTCGAGTGAAGGTGCTTCAAAGAAAGAGGCAGTGACAATAGGCAGCACAAAATACGAGTTGAAAGTTTGCGCCATCTTGAACGGCTAAGGACCCTGGCTGTCTGCACCTTCAAATAGCGCGCCGCCTTCGACCTTTATTCGCTACTGCATCATGCTCACGGTCCAGTCATCCGCTTCGCTTCTCGGATCTGTCGACCTTACTCTGCGCATAGTTTTACGCCTTCATTGTGATGAGTCAGCTCGCCTTATTTGTCACCGGTTTACAACACTTACTTCTATACGAAAGTCGCCTCGCCGGGACTCTTCCAGTTCTCTTCTCAAAGTCGCCTCGCCGGGACTCTTCCAGTTCTCTTCTCAACTAGATCTCATCATGATATTACATCAAGGAGGCAAATCCTCTGTTGATGCAGTATAATTGTATAGTGTAGTTGTGCAGTATAGTTGCAATTGTATTGTTAGCAACAGTTTCGATATTTGATCTCTACTACTAGTCCTCGTCTTCACACTCGTCTATTCTATTAGCAGTAGGTTATTTACACAAGTATACACATGTATATCTCACGTGGACTTCCTTTCTTACGTATGTTCATATTTTGTACTGTGCCTATTGATAATTTGTACTATAGTGTACACATAGACCCTTGTCAAAATGAAGTTAGTGTAATGTATGATCTCACTAAACGTACACGTAACAATACGGAACTGATCACGCACAACTCACCTTGCCTCTTCATCACGTCGATCATTAGGTCCCTCTAGTTTGCCTTTTGGTTCTTCGGCTGATCGACATCCATCACATCTGCAAGGCCAGCACGTTTGTCTCTCTCGGGCTCTGGGAAACCCGCCAAGTCTTCAGCCCGCTGTCAGAGCATCCACAAAGGCAGGTATCTTCCCTGTCTTGGGTGTTGTGAGATTCTAGCGGATGCAATCTTCTAGCCTCATAGTCCGCCTGGCACGACAAAGGGAAACACAGTCTTTCATTCCTCCTACCAACTAAAAATTAAACGAACACATGACAAAAATTACCAAACACGGCAATGAAATGTTACGGGATCATTCCAATGAAAAATCAGGTAGAAATGACGAAAGGCTGCTAAGACGATTTTTAGATGAGCACTGGTACGTCAACAGGGAAGAAGCTGTGTAGATTTGCAGTTATGCGGATTGGGAATCCACCTCGTTACGGTTTTTGTTTCTGCACGTCTTGCACTACCCTCATTTATGCCTTAGCGGATATCGCTGGCCTCCACCTCAGTTTTCGAGCCTTGTAACCCCTCCCCATTGTTTGATGTTTCAATGATGAATACCATAAACTTTCGGTGCCATCTTTTGGACGTATTGGAGTGTGTGGTGTTATGAATAGCATTTTCTGGGTAGGCTGATAGTTTTGAGGACTACGCGAGGCTTTCGGAAGCTCGCCAATTCTCTCGTAGCGCACCTTGCCATTTAAGATGTAAAAGTCTCCACAACCACTCGGCAGGTTGTAAGCGCCACAACTCATCCGGTAGCTCTCTACTCTCCTGTAGAATTTGCCCATTCACAATGGCACCTGCACACCTGGAATCATCTGAGCGCGACAATCTCGTCCGGAAGACTTGCTCAGGTGGGGCTGTGGTAAGTTTACAAAGAGGTCAACGCCCATTGTAAACGAATTGCTAATGAATCGTCAGGGAAACATTTCGGACGAGACGCTATTCTGTCTTTCGCTATTCTGTTCTCGTTCCCTTTGCGATTTTCCAGGACCGAATCCACCAGGACCGGAAATCATTATAGGATGCAAAGCTTGAATACATTTCCCATAAATTTAAAAGTTCACGAGCAGTTCCAAGGAAACTTTCAAGGAAGTGATCGAGGATGTCAATATCGCTGTAAAAATCGTATCAATGATTTATTTGATAACATGGCCTGGTTCACATCCAACGCCCTCTCAGTCGCTAGACATGAAGGCGGAGAACGCGATGAAGACAGCCCGCCAAAAACCAAGGTAGAGGTGAGCGCTGACGCAGTGATGGAGAGAAAACCAAGAAAAACAATCTCATCGGTGCTGCTCTCTCCAACGCTAGCGCTACTGCTGTGGAGCGGCGATGGGGTCAGACGCCAAGGGACACGACGGGCGAGAAATGGCCTGTTGGGCCACCGGATCAGTACACAGTCGGCTGCAGAACCCGCTCTTTCCGCGCCTGTATGAGGCCCGCCAGCCTTTTCAGTCGGTATATTTCCCCTACATCATTTTCAAGAAATATCGTAGAATCTCCCTTTAAGAAGTTCTTTGATGACCAAATTTCCATACTTTAGTCGTGAGTTTACTTGGAAATAATGATGTGTGATGCTTTCCTGAGAAAGCTGGCCTACCACTTTTGAGCACCAGACGTTGAGAAGGGTACTCTTTTCATGTCCGTATTCTACGAGATAACGGATACCCTCCCAAGAACTTGTATCTTCAAAAACAGCATATGAAAATCTTAATGGGATGAACTTTGTTTATGATCACCACCTCCAAAAAAATAAATATGATTCCTGCTCATGGCCAATTTGTATTTTCAAAAAAGAAGTAAAAGTGATGTTTTGATGTTCCACTTCGATTTATTATACTACACATTTAGGTGGCGCACTCGATGTATATTTAAGACGCAAACAAGCAAAAATTTCCAAAGGCGAAAGATTAGCAATGATGATAGGGATTGCGCAGCGGATGGCTACCATTCACAAGGCAATCATACACAGAGATCTTGCGGCAAGGAATTGCCTTTACGATAGAAGTCATACGGTACGTGAACTGCCTTTGTATAGTTCATAAGCTTTGGGAAAATTTGAGAATCAAAGGGCCCAATGGAATGAATGTGCCAACAGCCACCAGTATTCACGTAATGTTCTAATGTGTTCGGTAGTGACTGACAAGATACAAGAACAATTAGGTGCGGATCGTGACGTTCGTGAGTGTGCCTTTTCAGAGCTTCGCTTGTATCAGACATTGGTAAGTAGCATTGAGGAAGGTTCTGGAAAATAAGCCGACTTTACACGAGGACAAACTGCTTTTTTAATCCATGCTTGTGAAGAGCATTTGGAAGAATTTCAATAGAAACGGATACTAGTAGTGAACAGCTTGCTTTAGCGATTTCAGGTGAAGATCGAACTGAGGAAAAAAGCTGAAAATCAGGAGTGATGGTCACCAGAACCATCGCTTTTTTATAAACAATGCTCCCTAGCTGGGAAAACTGGAACAGGACATAGTTTATCCGTTCTGGCTCCCATGCTATTGCAACCAGCTCAAAAGTTGAGCAGGGCCACTGATGGTAGCAAGGCTCAAGGAAGAAGGGAAATATTCGTAATAGTGACATAACACCAGCATTCAAATAGAATAGCAGCAATCTTGTTAGGAGTGAGGTGGATATAGATCAGCCGTCTTTTATAGTAACAAGGATCCGACGGCTGCTTCAAAAATGCTTTGAAAGTTCACTCATTCCGCTGTAGCTCACACAGACAGTTTCCTGGCCGTTTCTGATTGCTCAAGGAAGGTAGTAAAAGGTTAAAGCGGAGGTCACGTTACCTTACCTTGGTGCGTTTTTGAAAAAAGTTGAACGAGTAAAGCTCACCTTAACCTCAGATAGAATGCGAGATCTAAGCCACACTTTTGTGTGGCCAATAAGGTGGCACGAATTATGATATCAATTCTGGCAGAGAAATGGAAAGAGATGAGCAGATTACGGACTATGAGCATCACCTCCGCATTTGACTATAAGACTATAGCAGTTTACTACCGTCCCAGGTCGAGATAGTATTCCCTGATGATGATCAAGAGCCTCAAGTAAATTCCGAGGAGAATGAATCATTAATCAACCAACAATGTATAGCTTATGGTTCAACTTGATCTCGTTACGAAGATGTAACAACCACATTTGCAGATGTACAATAATGGAATGAGACCGGCTTTTGCAGACTCCACGTTCATGCTAAAAACAAAAAATTCCCCTTTTCAGGTGAAGATCTCAGATTTTGGTTTGTCGCGGCCAGGCACGGTGTACAAGATGAAAAGCGCACAAAAGATGCCGATTAAGTGGATGGCGCCTGAAAGTATTCTAACGTTCACATTCACGCAAATCGTATTTACACGTTTGGGCGTATGTTTCTATTTTAGCAACTATAACCAAAACTAACGTATTAAATGTTAAGGTTCTAACGTATGAAATATTTGCTGCAATTGGTCCATACGACGACATGAGGAATAGTGTTGTAAAAAAAATGGTTGGTGCTACTCATTATTTCGTCTCGTGCTATTTCACGGAACGTTGACTTGTTAAGCAAGGAGTAATGTGGAAGTAGATCATACTTGAAAGTAAAAGGTCTTACGGGTCGTGCTGCAATTTAAGACGCTGGAGAGTATATCTCGCCTTTAACTGTTTTTATTTCGGAAACTGTCATACTTGCAATCCCGGTCTAATAATCATCTCCTCAAGCAGTGGGCCACTTGACTGCTTATGTAAGAATGAGCTGCAGCTCCTTCGCAGAAAAATTTCCCAAATTCTCCAAGAAGCGAAAGGCGGCGTTTGCAACAAGAGCTGACTGTGGCTGGCTTGGGCAATGCCTGTTCTCATCCTTTAGGACTCGTTCCTCTGGCCTGCCCTATCCGCGGTTGGAGTTTCCCTAACCAAATAGTTGCCATCGGATTCAGCCGTTGTAACAGAAAGGCAGCAAAGAGTCCAATTTTACGGGCTCCGAGCCGTTCCCTTAGTCCGATTTCCCATCACTGTACCCTTTACCACCTCCAGATTTCATTCCCATCAGCGCACAACCTTTGACAACACCTTCGGTAAGCAAACCAGTTGTTCATTTCAACAAGATTTTCAGATTGTTGAGGGCAAAGTGAATCAATTTCCTGCATCTACTCCAGACTATGTGGTGAATTTTGTGAAAGAAAGGTTATGGTGTAGGACAAGATCTGACAAACGACCTGATTTCTTCGTTAAGTGTGTGTTAGAGTGGTTTAGGTATCACTTGTTAAGCAATGACGTCAACTTGTCCACGACTTTTTCACATAATGATTAGTGTCCGTTATAGAGGCGTCACGAAATGACAATCGTTTTGGCAATAGCGTGATTCAACGAATCCGTATGGAATGGCGTATACAGTGCGTTTCATAAGTATAGACGCACCCTCAAAAAAGCTGTCATCAAAGTTTAACGATATCCGTGACAAAAAGGGTTGTTAATATCGTAATCAGCGTGCCGGAAAACCTTTGTGAGACAGGTTTATTTGAATCGGAGAAAAATTGGGTATTTTTCAACGGTTTGTTACCAAATGGACCGTTTCATAAGTATAGACGCACTTTAGAAATCGCCATGAAACTGAACACTTGGCCTGCGAAAGTTAACGTTCAAGGAAGCAGTAATTAGCCATAAGTACTACGCATCATATCGTTAAATAGCAGGGGCTCACAGCTTCCAGTTGCCGAGCAGGCTCAGGATCGCGCCCTGCACACGGTATGTCTGAGCATCGCATCATTGCTCCCAATTGTGTTGCTCCTCAAGGGTCGTCGATCAACTCGTAAGTGACACGGAATCCTACGGTCGCAAAAAGGGATCAGGTAGACCAAGGAAGCTGCCTCCGCAAGCAGAACGTCAGATTGAACGATTGGTCTTGAACTCTCGACTCAGCCTCAATGAAGTCCGAGCAAACCTAGCGGCACCTGCCTCCAAAACGGCGGTGTGGAGGGCGTTCAGTGGCAACAGCAACGTCGTGCGAAGTCGTCTCCGTCCAGCTCCCCGTCTCACCGCGTCTCACAAAGAGGCACGGTCCAAAAAAAAAAAAAAAAAAAATTTGCTAAGAGGAATATGGCAGCAAACTGGCCCAATTTACACCCCTTCTCTTATAAAGCTTCCCATTCGAAACTTCTTGCTCAACTGATATTCTCCGACGAGAAGAAGCTCAACCTGAACGGTTTAGACGGGTATACATTTTAATGGAGAGATCTGTGCAAGGTGTCGAAGTTTTCCAATAAGCGTGATTTCGATGGATGATGCGTCACAATTTGGAATGTATTTCACCGATGTGGGACGCAAGAAATCGCTTTCACTCCCACCCACATGGACTCCACGGAAAACAAAGACGTGCTCAGTCCTCACTCGCTACCTTTTTTGGCAGGGTATGGCGAGGGAGAATTTGTTTTTTAGCAGGACAACGCTGTGATCCAAATGAGGCGGTCTACTTGGTCGTGGATAGAGGAGCGAAATGCAACTACTGTGGACTGGCCTGCTTGTTCACCCAATGTCAATCTCATTAAAAACATCTGAGGCCTCCTGGGTTGCAATATTTAACGTCACAGAGGGACTTTTGTTAAGGTGACCGACCTCAGAGTGGTGATTAGTCAGGAATGGAATCGTCTGGTCGTATAACTGCTCAGCGGATGGTTAAATCTACTCTTTCTTCTATCTTTCGAAGTACTAAGAAACAATTAATTACTGAGAGAGTTTTTATTGTTTCTGATTTCATAATAAAAGTATTGTGTCTTAAAGGTGCGTCTATACTTTATGAAACGCACTGTTTCACATTTACCCTCTAGATTGCATTAAAGACGCCGAAATGAAAGACATTTTTACATGACTTCGGACAAATTTCTAGTATTAGCGCTTGAAACTGCGAAAAATGCTGGCTTCTGAGATGCCGAGAAAACTATTGATTCATAGACGACACACATCAAAGGCTTGTGAAGTATGCCAACATTTCGGTTTTGACGAAAATTAGGATACTATCTGTTGGCACTAATGGGGCTTTTTAGATGAGTGAAGGAAAAACTACAGCGACGATCGAAATTGATGTGACAACCGAGGCTAAGGCTAAGAAGCCAGCAAAAATGGCAGATTCATTGAAAGAGTTCGAAGAAGAAAGAAGGAAGCTGATACACCAGTCAGCAAAGAAGCAAGCTACACCTGTCAGCAAGGAAGCGGCTACACCGGTTAGTAAGGAAGCAGCTACACCAGTCAGTAAGGAAGCGCTAACACCAGTTAATAAGGAATCATTACGAAAATTCGAAAAACGCAACCTCTTCTTCTGGGAGAAAACAGCGAGACGAGCCCGGCCGCATCAAATAGTAAATCAATGTTATAAGAGTGTGAAGGAACCTCGAAAAAGGTTGGAGTAGAGCCTTCAGCAGAGGTGATGGTGACCACACAAATTGATATTGATTCACACCGAGATAAAGACGATTTTAAAGATGTGGAAATAAGGACAAAGCCGGTTTTTGGCAGAAGATCTAAATTCAGTGAGTATCTTTGATGTTGAGATGAAAGGCTAGACAAAAAAAAATTGATCAGGTTTCCTATGACATTTTTCTGAATTTGGCTGAAAGCCATGTCATTCGCTTCCTGAGTATAAAAGAAAACTGAACTTAGCCGATCCATCCTCGTGAAGAATCGAGGAATTAAGAGTAGGAAAGAGTCCAGGATCCTCCGCATCTTACAGTCATCACCATGTGAGACACCGTCCCTTCGTGGTAGCCTAAGTAGCGATCCCAGTCGCGTTTCTGTTGAGAGTTATGACAAAGAGATTTCACGAAATAAAGTTATGGTTGAAGAAATGTAGAAATAATAAAGAGGCGGACGTCTCCCTAACTGCGCGCACAGGATACGTTCGCAGCGAAGAGTCTGTCTAGGAGCCTAAGCAGGGCCATACCTGCGCAACTCCCTCCGCGGCACGCCACCACCTCGCCCGTTGAAAAATTTCTCGCGCTATGTCGCGCAGGTGCATGAGAGCCACCTTTTCAGGGAGGCTAAGCAGGCAGTGCTTTGAGACTTCCCATGGAACTTGAAAGGGAACCTAGATGCATGGAATAAAACTTTAACGCAGATTGCAAATATGGACACTAAACTGCTACGAACTTCCGAGAAAAGGGCAGAGGCGCCTTCAGATTGGCAAAAAAAAACATTACTGGAGCGAGTTCACCTGATCAAATCACAGTCGCCGTGGCCCTCTGTGCCGAAAGAGTCTCAAATTCGTAATCAGGGCACCCAATTTCCCTTATACAACAAGAAACCAGGCAAAAAAGCAACCGCGATTCCACCAGTCAAGATCGCTCAGTACCGTTTTTTGACAACTTTGAGAATACGTAACTTTATTAGGGAGTTAAAATAGCAGTTTTGGCCTCCATATTCGTAATCAACGTTTAAAACTTCATCGAAGTACCTAGGTATCCTTTCACCGTTCCATGGAAGTTCAAAACATTTCCTGGAAAGTGGAGATAGCATGAGGCACGCCGGTCACCGGTGGTGCTTGAAACCCACAGGCGGGAAGTAGTGTAGGATCGCGTTTTTACCGAACCCGGCTTCTCGCTTTTTTCAGTAACACATTTACCAATCATTGAGGCCGTATTCCGCGAATTCGCTCCCGTAAAATAGCCTCTTCCGTGAGGATTGCTCGGTTTGCATGCCTTATTCGGGACCCAACAACGCGCGGAAAGGCTAACGTTCCAATCCACAGCCGCCAGGCTAGACTTCGGTTGCCCAAAGTTGCAAATGCCGCTGGTGTTCCTTGTCCATATTCTGAAAAGAACCCTCCATCCTGAGGGTATTTGGCAGCTTTCCAACCAATATAAAATAGCTCCTAAACTGCAAAATTTACTTTTTAAACTTTTCTTACTTTCCTAGGGAACTTTCCTAACTTTCCTAGGGAGCTTTCCTTGTCTCCCCCAACCCACTCCTGTCCTCTAGTTCGAATAGTGTATCATAAAGGCGTCACTGCCATTCCGTACTGATTGAAAGCTATGCCGCAAAACTTGCTAAAGAGGGCGCTACTCGCAAGATACATGGTGGTGGCAAGCATTTCGAACCGCACAACATCTCCTTTTCGTCAAAAACGGAACTAAGCTTCAGGTGGAGAAGGGAGTTTGCATATTGCGTGATGATTTTTTTTTAATTTCTGACGGTTCCTACCTGTTTCTGGGCTTAGTCTTAAAAGATGCCCCCTATCTTGCTATAGCGCTGAAAAGGTTTTCAATGTGAGACTCCTATACTGATCTCCAAAAAACATAAATGTGTTAATATTCATAGCGACAATTCTTCAATCTTCCATAATTTTGTATAAGGAAGCAAATTCAACGTTATTTGATTTAACGATCGAAAAGGTGATTGAAAACGCCCAAGCAATGTTGTCCACTTCAATTACAACGTTACTGTAATAAAAAAATAAACTCCACATTACTAATTTATATTTAAATAAATTACTTACAATCTTATAAGGTATTTGAGCCACTGCAAACAACATCCAAACATTAAACAAGATTGGGAACGGATAGAGCATTCGAGACGATCAATCCCGTTTTGGATGCGCCACGCAAGTCCACTCCCATTCAATCGCACTGGCATTCTGAATGTAATCAGGCCTATATAAGGATTTGGGGGCTATCCGATATACAAGTCAGGGTTTTTATCTTCCCAGCAGGGTCAACCCTACGTTGGGAGAAGTACCAAACGGGGGGGGTGGTCGTAGTTTGTAATGAGGTGAGAAGCGCAGTGAGCAAATTGCCGTTCATTGTGCCTATTAGGAATCCCCTTCCCTCCTGGAAAGTTTTGAAGCGGGAAAATAGCCTCCAAAAATTTCAAGAAGTCCCAACGATAGGACCGACCCTGCTTCCCAGACATGTCTGGTACCAATTGAACCAGGCCACATGTACGAAGGTCAGCTTGCGTTGCCTGACGCGATCACACGACAAACCCGCCTCGGTTGCGCGTAGAATAAAAAGCGACCCTTATGCCGACTACATCACCGCCTTTGGATTGGTAACTGGTGCTTTATTTATTAACCAGTTTGTGCTCTGCATCAAGTGGTTTCTGTAATTTCCTGATATCACGAACTTCCGCTTGTGCACATCGTTCCGAACCCATAGGAGTGGTGGACAGAAGATGCAAGTGGGTTTACTACTATTAGCGAGTGAACAGCGTATCCCCGGCAACGACGACATCGTCAGACCCTTAACTTGTCTAGCCGTTCTTGTTTACTGACAGACAGTCTTCCTTCTTGGTCCCCTCGCTTCCACGAACGGCTGCCTGCTTGTACAATGACCAACAGTACCCGGCAGGGAGGCTGCACATTAGGCCGCAACAAAAGTCCTTGCGAGCTTCATCGAGGGATTGGCAAAAGGCTGCATATCGGAGGAGGAAATTGAAAGGAAAGAATCAGCAGGGGAAAGAGAACCAAAGTCCAGTCAAGAGTTGGCATATACATGGAAGGCACTAACTGACGTGCAATTTCTTAATTTATAGTATTGGCTTGATTGCCTTCAAGGCTACCGCTTAATTGTTCCCGCGTACGTGCCTAAACCTTAACAGAGCTTACTCGATAAGTTCTTAGTGTGTACTTTCTGCTTCTGCCAAAAGTTTATGGGTGGAAACTTTATTACGGCCACCGTTTCGACCTCCCCATCATTCGTAAGGCCTAAACATGGTCCAAGGTTCGAAAAGTGCTCACTATCCCACCAAACGCCACATCCCATCTAGCATTTCTGACGCCATTTAAGGTGAGCCTATCTTTCAAATTCTAATGTATTCCTTGCGTTCCTCGCGATAACGTTGAAAATGCCAAAAGGATGAGTGGCTCTGTGTTAAATTGGTAAGCAATTCTTAAAGTTACGAGCCTGTTTAGGCTTTTGAATCGAAGTGACGGGCGAAGTTGACCACTATAAAAGTGTCCATCTCTAATCTCGTGGAAAAAGCCACGCTAAAAACGAACCATGCCGAAGGTCAAGATGAAGGCTTGGAGTTCACTCGATAAGTACTCCTAATTTTCACATTTCGCTTTCCTGAATTATCAGCTTCAAAGACCCCGCTCTTTCGGGGTCTACGCTTACTACCTGTCGGAAATCATTGTCAAGACCTCCCACTTTTAAGGGTATAAATCATGAGTAAATATACGCACTTGATGGAAAACTTGTACTTCAGACCTTACCGCCTCCTCATTTTGACCACTGGAACACTTGACCTTGACCTCATGAGCCACCAGACTCTGATCATTTTCAACTATGCGGTGTGCTTGAATTGCCCATTTTCCTATCTTTTATTTCTTTTCGGAGCTCATTGTGAAAAATTTACTGAAAAGACTGTATCACTTTGTTAAGGGACTGAAGTAGCCGCTAATAAGGCCCACAAATAAACGCTGCTTTCGGTAGCGGGCATTAAAGCAAAGCAGTGACGAGCAAACTCCATCACACAAGTAATTATAATAACTACAAGTGGGAATCAGCGAAGAAGCTAAAACTGACGATGATCGAAACGAAGCGATTGAGGTCTGGCACTGAATTTCAAACACAAAGACACTTTCCACGACTAGGTCATGAGTGGAACCTCGTTCCGACAAAGTTACGTAGAGTTATCCGCATAGATTGACGCTCCGCCACAGAAATATCAGCAGAGGGCGTCAAGCTGCGTCAAGAGAAAAAGATGCTCACAGGGCTCGATCCATCACTCGGGATCTTGCCCGGAAACTGACCATTTTCATAAGCCATTTTTACTGGGACCTAGCCATGCTCTCTCGTCTCCAGTTCTTTCCGCTCTCTTCTATTCCGGGATTCTTTCTTTCGCTGCCTCCCTCTTGCACCTCGCTGTAGGTTAGGGAAAGGGGACATTATTCCATGGGTTTTTGTCGTTCCTTCCCTTTTTTGCCATCGGTCTACTTCGCATCTCTGCCTTCATCTTCTAAGGATATATTCATTAGTATGTGCTGGTGGGGTTTGCCTTCAGTGGAATCTGGTATGTGAATATTTCAGCTACTAAGTTTTTTTAGTTTTTAATTTGTGAAATTAATTCTAGTGTGCTGGTACGATTCCAGGCCGGCCATTACCTCGCTTTTCCCGAGTGATCGTTGACCAAATTCAACTGTTCCTTTGTTGAGCCCTAAATAGCCACTTTTCGAAGCATTGATCAGAATTCTTTGAATAACCTCATGAGGTACTCATGATCAATTTCTTGTTAGAAGAACCCTGCTTCCATCTTCTCGTGTAACACCTGACAGCCGTCTTTGTACAGCCTAATCGGTCGCCATTATCCTCTAGGGGCACCGTTTTTTTTTTCAGAAATGCAAGCCCTCGTGTTACTCTTGGTCACCATGCCCACGCTCTACGCCATTCGATGTTATTCTTATGTCAGCACCAACGTGGATAGATATCCAATGAAAACATGGGTAAGCCATCTAGGATCAGCTTCTTCATTCTCAGAAAGGGGAGGACGCATGACTGAACATAAATTTATCTTTTCAGGTCGAATGTCCGTTCGATGCGCAGTACTGCTTCAAAAACTACGTTGAGCAAAAAGCACTATCCACCCATATGTCGACGCGGAGCTGTGGAACCCTGAACCTTTGTGCGGTAAGGAGCCATTGGCTGTCTCATACGAAATCATTATCTGCCTTAAAGGCACACTGCGCGACCAAACTTATGTGATTCTTGCAAACAAAATGAAAGCTGGGGTGCTAGGAATGGCGAGAAATCAAGCTTCATCCTTTCTATTATAAAATTCGACTACACCACGAAAATGAGACCATGAGCACGGATGCATGGAAAAACCGAAGCGGTTGAAGCGGTCTTGCACTTCTAAGCCGGAAAAAAGGATCTTTGCAACTTTTCTAGACCTTGCCACTAGAAGGTTTGATCTACCTGATTTTGAAGTGTCTCCAAAAATCTTCAAAAGCCTGTCATGTTACAAGCCAATGCTCAGTCTCTGCCAACAATTTGCGGACATCTGCTGATCTTCGATCATTGACATCAGAGCAGTACTCAAGAAGATAATTGTGTAGTCTTGTTTACGCCGAGGAAAAGAAACACGCTACAAAAGCAAACATATAATTGTTTGCTCAGCGCCTGTTTCTTAAAGAGAATCGCCGCCGAACGAGAAGTTGCTGGATCCAAAATTAATTTCGACTTTGCCCTCCTACCGCATCCCCCTCAATGTAGACAAGCCAAAGTGAGTCCACTGGGTTGAACTTCGATTTAATTTTTATATATATTCTAAAACCCTAATGTCCGATGAAGAGGTAAAATCAGATTTCAATCGTTCCTGGGCTGAAGAGCCGAGTTTATTAACGGGGTAACAAACGATCGTGTCATGCATTCCCTTTTGTTACGGAACTAAAATTAGTGGTGGTCTTGAAGGCAGATGACACGATAAATTGGTCACCGTTGGGAGTGGAAGTGGTACCTGCACAGAGGAGAAGCGGTGAAGAAAAGCTATGGAAATTGCCTAAAAGCCGCGAAACGGTCTCTTTATTTCCGCGTTAGAGCGATTCTCCTCGCAGCTGAAGTCACCAACATAAACGCCCTGCTCTGACTGTCTGCTAGTACTGCGAATGGGTACAGCTACAAAGGAAGTCCAAACCGCTGGTAAGGCTCTACTAGATATTCTGAGTGCACTCATCGCTGCGAAGCGCCACGTCTCAGTCTCATACAGCCCAAATCTTTCCAGATAGAAGATACCCTCTGCTTCCGAAAATCAGAAGCGCGTCGAGTGCAGACCACACACCACAAGTGACGACGGCCTTCCAAGTAAATCTGGTTAACTAGTGGTTCATAGTGATAGCTGATAGATGATGGTAAATGGTTGTAATTAGTGACAACTGATCGAATAGATCGGCTAATCATTCTATTGGTGGAAAAATTTACATTTTATGGAGTGCCGTCACTTGTGTTGTGTAGTCTGCACTCAACGAATATCAGTTTTTCGGAAACATGGTATGTTACCCCTTCTTCAACATTAAGCTTATCTAAGTAACTAGTAGAACCTTACCAGCGGGGTCGGATTCCTATGTGGCTAGGTCGTTTATCGTCCCTTTGGAATACTCGGACTCTGGAGAACTACTAATCACGTTACGGTATTCCCTTGTGACTACGGTATTCTCACGATCATGATTACTATGCACAGAAATCTTGAAGTAGTATAGTAGCCTGCTCCGAGTAAGCGAACCAGCCAAGCTGCCCACGGCTTCGAGCTGACCATGCCCACCACCTGCAACGACCTCGAAGTGCTCCCAAGTTGAGCCCTTTCAGGCTGGCAAAATTTTGTGGATTGCGCTGGGAAAGGCTGATTTTGGGACCATTTTCTGCCCTCTGATCTCCAGCGGTTGAATGCCGAATGAGTTCAGAAGCAATAAAGCAAACAGTGGCGAAAACATGCACGTCAGTATTGACTAACGGGCGCATGGAATCCTACAGCAAATAGGAACCTCCGACGGTCGATAGTGGACTCTGGTGATCAGGCACAGATGGGGATGGAATAGATATATTGAACCCCCATAAACATGAATAAAATCATACGAGTATAACAAAAAGTAGGATTAAAGGACGAATTTACGATGGAAAAGCAACCCATTCCAAATTGAGGTAGAGATGGTGAGTAGTACCAGAAAGAAAGCGAAACCACGAAAAACGGCCCAGAACCGGAGAAATGGGACCCCTTCCTTGCCCGTTGATTTGAGCATTGATGCGACTCTCATCGCTGTGCCCTCTTCAACACTACGCTCTCTCAGCTATCTAATCACTCGCCACTATTGAACTACGGCGAGTGATCAGACGATCGGTGGGCGGAGATCGCCGAACTCGCCAACTTTGAGCCATGCTAGATCTCAGAGGTCAAATCTTTCGATGCCGATTGCGTGTCTGTCCGCACCCTCAAGAGATTCACCGCTCTCCCCACTAGGCGATTTCTCCCTTCTTCGACCTTCGTTCTTTCCGTGCAATCCTCCTTTAATGTCTGATCAT